GTAGGAGCAGTGGGGTGTGCCGAGGGGCCCCTTCCAGACCCTCCGCCCCACAAGACCCCCAACCCCCTCCAGCACCTCTTTGAGACCCGCCTTCCCGGTTTCGCTCATGCAGCGCTTACTTCCACCTAAACTTAAATATCCAGAGTCCGATCCTAGTAAAGGGTCGTGGCTTCCATGTGACAACTGCAAAAGCATGGTATACGTAAGGTTTCTTAAAAAAAATCAACGAATTGGAGCAAAAAAATTAAGCTTCGACACGACGCTGAATTAGCTCGTGGTTACACAGTAGTGTGTACAACGGGCAACGCAAGAGGTCCGATGTCGGAAAGAGTTTTTAGAGTTGTTGATATAATGTCAGAAGTAAAATCCAACTAATCTGGTTGCTTGTGCGGCTCTTTCCTGGTCAACCCATGTTGGCAATCATTGCAGACCATGGGATAAATTCCCAGTATTACGTCCTATGCATGGCATTATGACTAGTTTCATACTGGAGATGATCTAAGGGGAAATTTCTTGTCCAAAAATATATCCCGGCTAAGGGTTTTCGTACAGAGGGCACGCTGATACAGGCCAGGGATCCAGGGATCATCACAACACCTAAAAGATGCACAACTTTCCACCCGCAGCTGGCCGTGGGGTGGCCTAGTAGGCTTGGGTGTGGGCAATGTCAGACTTTTGCAAAATTTTGGGTGTCCCTACTTCGTCGGTTAGTTTTTGTCCTCAGAAAAAATGTCAAAACAGTCTTAAAATAACATCTACTCTGGGTCTCTTTCCCTGCTTTGGAAGACAGTCATTCTGTAGGAAATTTTGTCGATGCACAGTTCCGTGATCACAAACTCCACAAAATTGTCGAGGACGGATGTGAAAACATTTGTAGAGTTTTAGGAAATTCCCGGCCATTTCCTCGAAATTCTCCTGAAACTCTAGTGGGCTCGTTCGACACTCCTCGGGGCGTCCTCGGGCCCCGAGGACGATTCCTTGGAGTCGCTCGAGGAAATTCTTGCCTTCGTTCCACTCATCCTCGGAGTCGTCCCCCGAGGACGATTCCTCGAATCCTCGGGGATCCCACGGCCAGATTTATATATCCACAAGCGGACGCGGGGGTGGGGCCGATGGTGGTCCATCGAGTTGTCTCCGTGCGGACGGCGTTGGTCCACCTTTGTTGGCCGTCACAAATTCGAATCACAGTGGGAAACAAAAGAAAAAAAAAGAATACAAAAAAGGGGCCATTGGAAATGGCGCGCACGACCACAGTTCAAAATTCGAAATTTGAAATCTTGCTCTGCGATTGGCGGCGCGTGATGGATGGACGTTTCACACCCGATTGCATCAGCGTCCGGCATTCAGGGCGTTCGGATAAGTGACGATGGTGGCCGACAGTTGTCGGCGAAGAGTACACAGGTCTACGCTTGCGCAGAAACGGAGACGACATCAACTTCTCACCATCGTCGCGGGCACACGACCGTCGTCAGTGCGTGGCGTCCAAGGTTGTCTGCAGAGGCGGCGCTGTGTTCTTCCACGTGGCGGCGTTTGTGCAGTCGTGTGTTGTTATTGACGTGATGTCCTTGGAAGCGGCATCGGGGATGGATGTTGACGGCGAGGTCAGGCGTGACAGTCTGACGACGACAGAGAGGACGGTTGTCGTTGCAACGGTGAATGTCGTCCTTTTCCGTTGTCAAATGGCGAGCAGCGAGCGGAAGTTCAAAGCTGCCGGCGCTGCCGATGAGTGGCCAGTGCTTGGACGTCGGTGCCATTTCCGACGCGGTGCTGCAGGTCTGCTACACGATGGGGTGCGGCGCGTTTCCACGGGCGACTCCAAGGTGGTGGATGAAGCGGCGGACGAGAGGTACGTGGGAGGATATGCGGCAATGTGATGACGCGACAGATGACTACTTCAAGGACAAGCTTCGAATGTCGCTACGTGTTTTCCGCGAGATTGCGGAGACTCTTTCCCCACTCCTGCAACGCCGTGTGGCGTTCTACACGGTGCCCTTGCAGCCGAACCACATCATCGCCTACGCTCTGTATAGGTGGGCGACAGGGGAGACATACGACAGCGGGACGTGTAGCTTCGGCATTGGCAGGTCTTCCGGCATCACGGCGGTGCGGGACGTCACTGCGGCATTGCTGAGTGCGTACCCCAATAAGATATCCTGGCCCACAGGTTTGCAGAAGGCAGTCGTCTTCCTCGCGTTCGCAGACAAGGGTGTTCCAAACTGCCATGGGTGCATCGACTGCACCCACATCTACATCGACAAGCCCACCAATGCCAACGGGGAGGACTATTGCGACAGGAAACGTCGATTCTCCGTGCAGGCGCAGGTGGTCGTCGACATGAACTTGTGTGTGCTGGACGTCTTCGTCGGTTACCCGGGCAGTGTGCATGACATGAGGATGTTGAACCTGTCCAGTTTGTGGGCGCTCACGGAGGAAGGACAACTTTTCACTAGGCCGCGTGTGATGCTGTCTTTCGGTGTGCGGACCAATGGCTACTTGCTCGGCGACAACAGTTATCCTCAGTCCGAATGGATAGTCGTCCCTTACGGCGGTCTCGCGCAACACCCGTCGGACGCACACTTCGACAACAAGCAGAAGACGACTAGGGGAGAAGTGGAGAGGGCCTTTGGCAGACTGAAGGGGATGTGGAGGTTGTTCCTCCACACCCACAAGTGCAACATGGAGACCTTGCCGCAACAATTTGTCATCGTCTGCATCCTCCACAACATACTTATGATAACTCGTCGACATAGGCGTCCCGTTTGACGACAATCTGTTGTGGGAGGTGGGTCCGGACGGCGTGCATCGTAGAGTCGATCTTGGGATGCATCAGCCACTGAGGCCGGTGTGCATGGAGTCATCAACGGGGGATGTGCTGATATTGAGGGACACGCTGGCGGAGTGGATGAGTGCGCAGTGAGGATGGTCGTGCATGCAGGTGGAGACCCCGCCGTGACCGTAATGAAGCGGAAGAACGGAGCTCTGTGAAGCGGGGAAGCACCGAAGGGATCCTGTGGCGGGAAGGAAAGGGAGGTCCGCTTCCCACATCCACTGGCGATTCCGTGTCTTCACGATGATGATGCCCTCAAGTCAGCTGTCATCGGGATGTGCTGTATTATTGTCGTCAGGCGCAATGTGCATCATCCCGGTGTAATCCACGTCGCCGTCCGGCAGGGGGTGATCTTCCATTTTGTGGTGCAGTAGTCGACCCGTGGTAGCGTCGTTCTTGCGAGAACTGCATGACGTGTCTCCCGCGGGCAGTGCGCGTAGGTGTCTTCGTGTGTGTGGTGACTAGTTTTGTTTTTCGGGGCTCGTTTTAATTTTTTGTTTTACTTGTTCTATACCCAACACTAGGCGCGGTTACACGCAACGTTGGGTGCGGTAGTTTAATCGCTGGTTGTGGATGTCGTCGTTGGCGGAGTCCACGTGGCGCGGTTGCACGTGGCGTTTGGCGAGATACTAATTGTGATGACGGTGCACGATGGCTACGGTTATGTSATGCGGGGGGGGGGGGGGGGGGGGAGAGATCGTCCATCTGGTTGCGACATGGAAATCCGTTTGCCTTGAAAGGTTTTTCCCCTTTTGACGACAGAGTGTCCTTTGCTTATATTGGTGTGCGCAGATTTGCGTTCCTTCATCTTTTCTTTCGTTGTTGTGTTCGAGGGAACTCGGATTGCATGCGTTTGCAACGGTGCACCACAGTTGTTTTGTCCGTGGTTCGGAAGAATGTCGATCACTTTGTCTGCATCGACCTTTGCCATTCCCATTTTCTTGCATTTCCTATCCCCGCTCACATTACAATCAGTTCCTCGAATGATGGAAAGGAAGACAAATGCATGGATTGGATGTTCGATAACTAGAAAGATGAAAACATAGTTGGATGCATCACTTTCTCGCCATCAACAATCAACATTCAATATGAGAACAAACCAACCCCACCTCACATACGCTTTATAAAAAATGAAGGATCGATTGAAAACAAAAACAACACACGACTGTGAAAATCAGCAAGATCAGTAATCAGAAGGACGTTCGGTTTACTAGCATTGAACATCTGTTTGTCCGGTCGATAGACAGAACATTAACATGACAAAACCCAATAAACGAAAACAAAAAAAAAAATTCCGGAGAACTACACACTAATACACAAGAATGGTTGAACAACGACCGGTCCCAAGGAAATGAAGTTGCCACTGCCCATGATACCTGCCTACTCATCTACTCCTGCCCCGAACGCAACCACCCACGCTGCCACAAACCCCCGCCTCCCCCATAAGCCCTTTCAGTACCCACCCCATGCCCCGCATAAAAGCCCCTAACCCCAAAACCCGCCCTTCCCGCAATCCCCCTTCCTCCTCTACGTACGATCTGAACAGGTCGTGGCGAAATAGAGAACGTTTGCCACGTCGCCGAAAGACGGATATGCCGTTCGAGAATCGTCATTCCACGGCCGAGCACGCGAAGTATTTACACTTTCCACTTGGCGTGGAGTGACTGCTTGCGTTTTCTGCCGTCGTCAAAGAAGTGACGACGTCATCCCCTTCCCTCTCGCGATGTCATGCGCATACCCCCCCTAGCCTTTGTCAGTGTCGTCGTCGTCCTCATCCTCGTCCTCGGGGGGGCCTGTCCCCATCCAATCCAACCTTTTCGCCTACATCGGGGAGGCCAACGTTGCATTGTGCAAGAACTGTCTCTTATACACATCTAGATGTGTATAAGAGACAGGTCATGCGCATACCCCCCCTAGCCTTTGTCAGTGTCGTCGTCGTCCTCATCCTCGTCCTCGGGGGGGCCTGTCCCCATCCAATCCAACCTTTTCGCCTACATCGGGGAGGCCAACGTTGCATTGTGCAAGAAAGTGACTCCGCACTTTGACGCCCAATCAGGGATGTAGACAGGTGGGGGGGACAAGGTCAGAGGCGGTCTCCCCAACTTGTCCGTCATCACTTGCGCGGCTTGCATGATGTCGCAATGGGCGTCGAATTGACGATTCATGGACGCAAGCAGCGTCGTCTTTGCAGAGAGTTGCACGAAAACCCAAGCGTTGTAATGAGATCTTGGATCGTCCCCTGCCATTCGCATTATCCACATCGTTGCGGTCAGCAAGTACCTCATCGCCTCTGCCATGGCCTTCAGACGCTCGTACGATACAAGATCGTCGTCCATCGCTTCAGCTGTGCCCACTATGTTAGTAAAATCCCGCACCAGACGCTGAACACAAGCGTCCTAGTAAGCCGCGCACTCGTCGTCCTCGTGCCTGTCCACTATGTTCGCGCCGACAAAGCACAAAGGCAACTTCATATCCATGTCCAGTGTGGTGCGGAATAACATCGGGTTGACCAAAGTACGCTAATACTCTACTGACCACATCGCTCTAGCGATATCAGTGGCTGAGTGATTCAAGGCGTACTGGTACGCCAAGTGATACCCCCTTTGTCTACTCTCGGACTTGAAGACCCAACTGTGGATCACCCTCAGAGAGATTGTCTGCACCTTCAACGCCCTCTCTTTCGCCGCATTGAACTCTGATTCATCCTCGATTTTGTGTTGGGGGATGGTGTTGTGTGGAAGGGAGATGCTCCGTCGAATAGCCGGAGGCTGCACTCCCCCCGCCACTGCCACAAGATACGTGTGCACTTCTTGGATGATCTTCACTATGGCGCTCCCCTGTGTCTCGTTCCAGAATCGTGTGTCGTCCTCCCAAAGTTTGGTGGCAGCATCCATTGCATGTGACGCCGCACGTGGCCCACGCAGCCTGTGCACCAGAGCCTCGTCGTCTTCCCCAACCACCCCGCCATCCCCTACGTTCGGAACTTCCCCCGCCTTCCCACCGCCGTGACTGCGCCGCTGCGTGGCACCACTGAAGGAGATCGCAATGCCCCACCTTGGACCACCGGTTGGGAACTACCCGCCACGTCTACAGACGGGGTATTGAGGCGTTTCGAGGGTGTTTGCACGCGTTGGGCAGATTCATGCACGGTGGCCCCTTCCTTCACACGCCCACCGATCTCACACCGTGGCACATCGCGTTCAATGTCGATAAAGTCAGGGTGTCCACCTGCGACACCCCCACCGCCACGCCGTGCGGAAGGTGTCCCGTCCCCCCCCTCGTTGATTCTTATCCCCCCCCCGGAACTCGCGCTCGGCTTCCTCTTTAGCGGTTGTTCCTCTTCCTCTTCTAAGTCGTCGTCCTCGTTCATCATCTCCTCCTCCTCCACCACCTCCTCATTATCGTCTCGCGCACTACCTACGGCCCCGCCGTGGACGACCTTCCTCTGCTTCTTCGCTTGATGGCGTCCCTTTTTCGCGGGAGCCGTGACCTCCATGACCTGGTTTAAGGCACCCTTCCCCCGTCCACCTCCACGGGACGACATGGCGGTTCCCACAAACGCGCCTCCGATCACACTCGCTAAACTTTCGGGCGTGAAGACCGCGGGGCGGCGAGATGAGTACAGGGCGGCGAGAAGGAAAGATGGCACGATGACTAGGGGGCGGCGGAGGAGTGCAGTGTTGCGGGAACGAAAGATGGCGCGAAGACTACGGGTTGGCGAGAAGGAAAGATGCCTGGTACGGCCGTGGAGCTGTGTGAGCATAGGGCGGTGACGAGGAATGACGACGAGACGAATGCAGGGCGGCAAAAATGGCAGACGGCGAGTCCGACTAGACGGCGAGGTGGTCGACGATGAGAGCACCCGTGAATTGAGGTCCGCGCAGCGAGACCAGGTGATAACACACCAGTGTCGGGAAGCAGAGGACGAGATGGCGAGAATGCAGTCGTCTGCAGTGTTGACACCCCGTGCGCACATCGTAAATGCGTATCGAGAGGACTGCGGCCTGCTTATGTTCTAATGTGCGCGGAGGACGGTTGCGCAGAGTGATGGCGCCCCGCCCTTTGGACGACAGTGCTATAAGTTTTCCATCCAAATGACGGTGGCCTATAGGTCACCCTCGATGGGGATTGG